TAAAATGTAATTTATTCCTGTGATGCAAAGCTGAATTTTCAGCGTCATTACTCCAGTCTTCAGTGTCACATGATCCTTCAGAAATCAGTATAATATGCTGATTTGCTGCTCAAGAAATATCTCTGATTATTATCAATGTTAATAACCGTTGTGCTGCTTAATATTTTTGTGGGAAGCGTGATTTATTTTTTTCAGGATTCTTCGATGAATAGAAAGTTCAAAAGAACAGAATTTATTTGAAAAATAAATCTTTTGTAACATTTTAAATGTCTTTACTGTCATTTTTAATCAATTTAATGCATCCTTGCTGAATAAAAGTATTATTATTATTTTATTTTTTATTTTTTAAAAATCTTACTGAACCCAAACTTTGAAATGCTAGTGTAATTGACTTCCATAGACTCAATTGTCTGCTGCTCCCTGTATCTCAGACTGGAGGTGGGCGGATTGTCATCCACTGACAGACGTTGATTTTGAGGTGCTGAAGCCTCGCTCGCCCTCCCGTCCGGCTGGCATGTCCCTTCCGTCTTTCAGTTCTTCCTGGACCAGCCCCGTTTCCCAGAGAGACCCGAGCTCTGGCAGCAGTGAGGGTCACAGGCAGACCCCGGGGGGATGTCCTGCAGCCAGCCATGAGCCTCAGGTGGAGGCTTTGCACCGAAAGGTGGTGTCTTGGTTTGGGGACCATCCCTCAACTCCTTTTGGTGTCCACCAGCTGGTGGAGCTGGGAAAGGAGTCTGGGAAGAGGGCAGGGGACTGGTACGGCCCGTCCGTAGTGGCACATATGCTGAGGTTAGAGGAGAGCAAATGAATGTTATTGTATTTAGATGTAAAAGCTTTGTTTTAATAACTGAACAGTGTGAACTGAACTTTTTGTCATTTAATGTCTTTTCTTCTACCAGAAAAGCAGTGGCTAGAACCGCTGAGTTTCACAACCTTGCTGTATACGTGGCACAGGACTCCACGGGTGCGTTTTCATGTTCAGTCTTGTGGGTTGTGCATCCTGCGGTCATTTTAAAAAATCAGTTAGTGAAACTGAAGGTTTTTCCTGTTTCTAAGTGATGTTTAGCTCATGCTTCTACTTCTGTGTGTGCTACAGTGTATAAAGGAGATATCATGAGGTTGTGTGAGCTGTCCGAGTCTGGTGGCACAGGCTGGAAATCAGTCATCATTCTAGTGCCAGTGCGGCTCGGAGGAGAATCATTAAACCCCTCCTACATTGAGTGCGTTAAGGTATATATACTGCACATCAACTCAATAACAACTGTGATATATGTGATGTATGATAAGTGAACAGATATTATATTATATTATAATATATATCCAGAGCAAATTAAATTTACAAAAGTGATTTTATATACATAAAAAGCATAATATACAAGTAAAGTGTTTCAAATAACTTTTGTGAACATAAAATGTCAAAATATGGGTGAAAAAATGTCATCATCATTTAGCATAACACATGTATTTGTGTAAAAATGAAGCAGCTTATATTAAAAACAACCTGTATATTAAAAACTGAACTATATTATTATATTATGTTATATTATATTATAAACAGTAGAATAAAAATTTAATTATATAAACTATACATACAAACTATACATATATATATATATATATTTAAATCAAATATATTACATTTATATATATAATATACAGTATATAATATATATATACTTTTTTTTTTTACATTCATTTAGAATAGTTTAACACTTGGTTAGAATTGTTTAATGTTTTTTAATTACTTGACAAAAAGGCCTTATGTTGACATTTTTTCTTAAATGAAGATCCTCTCTTTTCCTAGAACATTCTCAAGTTAAAATGCTGTATAGGAATTATTGGAGGAAAACCCAAGCATTCCCTGTTTTTTATTGGTTTTCAAGGTATGTGTCTATTAAGAGCTATGTTTTGATTGGTTACTGCGTTCCTATCCGCTCTCTGATTGACTGCTCTCTGTCTTCCAGACGAGCAGCTATTGTATCTAGACCCACACTACTGTCAGCCAGTGGTGGACGTCACCCACGGCAACTTCTCTCTGGAGGTGAGATGGAAAGCAAACCTCTTTACTCAAAGAGAAACAATAAAACATTACGTATCCATCAGAAGACATTTTCATTTCAAAGTTTTGATCATGTATGAGGAACTGAAGCTGCATTGGTCTTTTCTCTCGTAGTCTTTTCACTGTAACTCACCCAGGAAGATGAACTTTAGTCGTATGGATCCCAGCTGCACCATCGGGTTCTACGCGCAGACTAAGAAAGACTTTGAGTCTTTGTGCTCCGCGGTCAGTGAAGTGAGTGTCTTGTTTGAATCAATAGGATATATGTTTATTGTAATAAAAAAATTTATAAGAATGCCAGAAATGTAATTTTTATGCCATTTAAGAATGAATGCATAAATATCAAGAAGCTGAAATAAATATGATTATATATTTTTTACTATGTGCATGTTATTTTTTGTTCTTTTTCAGGCTTTGTCATCCTCTAAAGAGAAGTATCCCATCTTTACATTTGTAGAGGGCAGGGGACAGAACTATGGACTGGAGGGGCAGAGTGGGGGGTCCATGGATGGTCCTGCAAACATTTTCTCATGCAACGGAATGAACAGGAACAGTAAGAGAGGAAGCACAGATGAGTTTGTGCTCCTGTGAGGAGCGTATTGCATGTAACACAGACCCTACCCCAGTGATGCTGCACCCAACTTCATGAAGCTGCTGTTCCTCATGTCTGTGCACTGCAAAATATAAAGAAAACCTGGCATTGAGATTCTCAAGAAAACCTGTCCGAGTCATATTTCACCCCAGAACCAAAGGAAAAAAAAAAAGAAATGATATTTTGCATAAAGAAAACTTTGCATATTTTTAGAACTATGTTGTGATGTTATTTTCATGACAGTTAAGCACATTTTACTCCAGTTTATCATTAAAGTAATGCCAAAAACCTCTCGTTCTCCATACTGTAATGTAAAAAGGCTACATTATTTAAATTGAAAAGTGTTGTTTGCACTGCCTTTAGTTTAATTCGTAAAAATGGTTCATTTTGATTATTGCATTACAATTTAAGCATGTTTTTGCATTACATTAATGAGAATTTTGAGAGGATATATACTTAATTATCAATGTGAAAATATAATAATTCTAAAAATAAGGTTAGTTTTCTTAATGCATAATATACTTTTGGGGTGCATTTCTTTGGTAAACTGCTCCTTAAATGTGGCATTTGTTCATGAATGGATGAGGAGCATTTTCTATTATTGCAATTTTTCAACTGATTCATCCACATTAAAGGGAAAGTTCGCCCCAAAATAAAAAATGTATGAAAATGTACTTACTCTCAGGCCATTCAAGATGTAGATGAGTATCTTTCTTCATAGGAACAGATTTGGAGAAATTTAGCATTGCATCAATTGCTCACCAGTGGATCCTCTGCAGTGAATGGGTGCCGTCAGAATGAGAGCCCAAACAGCTGATAAAAACATCACAATAATCCACACGTAATCCACACCACGCCAGTCCATCAGTTAACATTGTATGAAGTGAAAAGCTGTGTGTTTGTAAGAAACAAATCCATCATTAAGACATTTTAACTTTAAACTGTTGCTTCTGGCCAAAATACGTGCCCATAATCTACCATTTTTGTTGCTTACTCCAGTGAAAAGGTTGCCTTGTCGTGCAGCTTTTCACTTTACAATATGTTAATTGATGGACTGGAGCGGTGTGGATTATTGTGATGTTTTTATCAGCTGTTGAGAGCTTTCATTCTGACGGCACCCATTCACTGCAGAGGATCCACTGGTGAGCAAGTGATGTGATGCTAAAATTCTCCAAATCTGTTCCAATGAAGAGGCCTGATTGAATGGCCTGAGAGTGAGTCCGTTTTCAGCAAGTTTTCATTTTTGGATGAGCTATTCCTTTAACGTGTATATAAACGCATACACACAAACATTTTGTCTCATACACTGAACACATGATCCTGCTGTTGTGTTGCTGTCTTTAAGAAGGTAAACGGGTACTCTTAAGTGTTTTTTTCTTCTTCTTCTTTTCTGAGACTGTAATTATGACAATGAGTAAACCTCCTTGTTGCTGTATGATATGGCTGGTTTTCTAAGTTGTTAAATTGTAAATCTCTCAGCTTGTGTGCTTGAACCGAGTGTGTTTTTGTTTTAAATCATTGTGCTTCATTTGTCACCAGTTGACAGCTTTCTTTTATTTAATTGTATCTTTTATGAGGAATCACAGCCGTAGTACCTCCTCAAGCTCTGGAAGATGTGTGGCATTGAGTTTGATGCTGGAAGCTGTCTGAATATTTGATGTCTGATTTGCTTTTGCTTGTTCAGGTCAACAAAATTAGCTGTTACCGTTTCATTCTTATTTAAGCTGTTAATTTTATTTTTACAACTTGTATTTTTGAACGTTCTGCTGTGAAAGCTGAACTGCTTGTCACTCTTTGAACAATCGTTTTTTGAATAATTGTAGATTTTTCATTGTGTATCTATTGTCTTTTACATTTTGAACTCTTTCCTGGACATGGGACCAGTGAACAAGAGATTATGAGATTATACTTTTGTTTGTTTTGAACTTTTTTCGGAATTGGAAGATGGAAATGATCAATTAAATGCAAGAGAGAAGTAAATTGGTTATAATGCCTCAGCTGTCCTCACTTCAAGTATTTTCTAAACGGCAGTTTTTGAACTGACGTATTTGAGTGCATCTTGGTACCATTGAACGGGTCAGCTACTGTCCTGTTTGCTTTTAATTTTTGTCTGTAATTTTATCTACATTTTGTCAAAATTAGAACAAAAAAATATGAAATTAGTGAGATATATATGTAATTTATTTATTTATGTTTTAACCTGACCTGTCACCTGCACTGTAGTCTGTTCTCACAGTGCTAAACAGCCCATATCATTTTATGTCTTTGATTTTTAAGATCGTTTTGTACATTGTGTATAATATTCGGGGTCCTGAAATAATACCAGTTGAAAACCTCTATCCGTTGAAGGTGGGTATTTTAGGTCATTTATATCTATAAATAGTGTAAAAAGCTTTTATTTTGTAGCTGTACATATGCTTTTGTTTTGAAGCGTCGTGGGAGACTTTTATTTTGAAGAGGTGTGAAGGGCAGGGCGCTGACTTCCGCCTGGCCGAAGACAGCAGCGGCAGCGGCGGCGGCGGAGCTGAGATCAGGGCGGATTCACCGAGTCTGGAGAAACATGGACAGTCAAGGCAGAAAAGTGGTGGTGTGTGACAACGGGACCGGGGTGAGTGTGACTGCGGACCTCATACGGCTCGGTCCGGTCTGAATGATGTTTTATTCGCGGCTGTGTGTGATTTAAAGACGGCTTGCCGGAGAAAGATGCAGCGGAACAGGAAGTGAACTGATAGTACCTTATATTACACCGAGATTATCTGTGATTTACACTCGACCTGTAATGTGGAAAACAGCTCTGGTCGGATGCACGGAAATCATAGATCGGGCCGGATTATAAATGCTTTGCATGTGGATGTTTTGTAGGAGCTTTGCGAATGTATTGACACGATTGATATTTAACTTACACATATTGTCATGGATATTTGAACGAGGTCGCAGGGTGAGCATGCATTATTAATGAAATTACATGTTTATGCAAAAAAAAAATTAAAAAAATTATCAATGATGCATGTGTGTTTGTGTGTCAGTAAAAGATAAAGATGATCTCAAACTCACTTCCGAGTTTGTAACCTCACATCTGGCCGAGAGAGGAAGTGACATACGAGACCTTCCATCATTCTCTCTCTCTCTCTCTCTCTCTCTCTCTCTCTCTGTCTCTCTCTCTCTCTGTCTCTCTCTCTCTCTCTCTCTCTCTCTCTCTCTGTCTCTCTCTCTCTCTCTCTCTCTCTCTCTCTCTGTCTCTCTCTCTCTCTCTCTCTCTCTCTCTCTCTGTCTCTCTCTCTCTCTGTCTCTCTCTCTCTCTGTCTCTCTCTCTCTCTGTCTCTCTCTCTCTCTGTCTCTCTCTCTCT